CTCTCTCTCTCTCTCTCTCTCTCTCCCGTCGTTCCCACGGCGCACGCCTCCACATGCACCCTCACAGTTTCCCACCCGCCCGCTCACCCGCCCGGCACGCACACCGCTCCCCGCCCATTCGCTTTCGCGACCCATGCGCCGCCCACTCATCGATTCCGTGCCGCTGCCGTGCCGTTTCGGCCCGCTCGGCATTCACCAGCCACTTTTCCCTGCCACCCCTGCCGACGCCTTTGGCCSCGGCGCCGTTTCGCCGGCCGCGCCACTTCTCAATTCCCCGCCCGCGCCTTTCGCCACCGGGCCGTTTCGCCGCCCGCTCCTGGCATGGGCCCTGGGCCCATCTCGGCCATTCCCAACACTGGCAAGGGGTGCTCGTGTGGGACCGTCACGCGAGACCCTCTATTTGCTTTATAGTATTAGAGAAATGAACATTTGAAAGTTGCGCTCGCTATTTCTTTCCCGCACAGCTACGACCCTTCCTCACTGACACTGGAACCACATGGGGAGATTTCAGTTCCGTCTGTGTCCCCACAATCAATTTCCCGAAAAATCCTTCGCACACCCCCTTTTTGCTGTTCTTTCAGGGCCTGTTCCGCTTATGTTATCACTCCAAAAGGAAGACAGCACAGGGTATGAGGTTAGAACGTCACACGCTGGACCCGGTTTCCAACAGGTGCAGCTCCCCACCAATAGATGGAGTGACTTAAAGAACCCTACTAGGGGGGGTGCTCGTACCACCCCCCCTAGTAGAGGTCATTGAGTCTTTTCATTTAAAAAAAAAAAAAAAAAAAAAAAAAAAGAAGAAGCTTGCTACCTCCGGGTGGCCAAAAGTTTCAGGTCTGTCCCATGTGAACTGAGGTTCCTTCTATTGCTGGGTAGCTGCACCAGTTGGCAACCAAGCTGGCATCATACACAATAAATCAAGAAGAAGCCTTTCGGACTCTTTAGAGTCTGCATCAAGTCGCTCAGGTTCAGCTTGTACAATCTATGTCAGATCCTATTTGCAGTCTACCCTACAAAGCAATCCTGAAACCTCCGTATGGTCGCCAACAAACTCAAAAAATCAACAAATCAGCTAATGCTCCGACAAATTCAGTGTCCCTATATCTGTGAGCCTAATAACAAGGGAAGAGTGAGGCAGTAGCCGAGGCAAGAAGTCATGGAGGCGCTAGAAAAGCAAAAATTACAAAAAGTCACATCACAAGAAGCAATAACCGGCCAGTCAGGCCCGAGCAATCGATCATATGGCCTAAAGAAGTCATAGAAGCTTGTTGAACCCGAACAGAAAGACACGCATAAATAACATTTTTTTTCACACAAGGCTCCAATCTATTAGTGGGGAGCAGCACGTGGTGGAAACCGGGCCCAGCGTCCCTTATGGAGTACAGAAAGTAATGACTTTGGGGCTGGGATCCAGACAGAATACAATTAATATAAATTTATTATAAACAGCACCTGAACCTCGTTGAATCCAAACAAAATTAAACACACGCAAGTACATAATAGTATCAAGCAAACTCTTACAGCGAAAAAATGGTGACGAAACGATTGAGCAGCCACGGATTGACCTGTCCACTAAACTAGCAGAGACCATTCGACCATGGACACCAGTTGATTTAACCCCTCCTAACCGCCCCCCCCCCCAACACACAC